TAGTCTATATCTCTGAGAAAGGGGAGGCCGTTAAAACACCCCAGAGATAGAGAACATTGTAGCTAAGTACCCTGATCTGTTTGAGGAGCCTACAGGAGTCGTAGACAGGGAGGTTGTCCATGCCATAGAGATCATCTTAGGCAACAAGACACCTAAAGGGAGAATCTATAGGATGGCTCCGACCGAGTTGGACGAGCTTCGATGACAACTGAAAGAGCTCACAGAGAAGGGTTGGATACGGCCTAGCACCTCCTCTTTTGGCTCACTAGTATTATTTGTCCCAAAGAAAGGGGGATCATTAAGGATGTGAATTGATTATAGAGGCCTCAATGCCATCACTGTTAAGAACGCAGAGCCTCTACCACGCATTGACGACCCATTGGATAAACTTGAAATTTGGCTACCATCAAATTGCTATAAGACCAGAGGACCAGCACAAAACCGCATTCTGAACCAGGTACGGTATGTACGAGTTTGTGGTGATGCCCTTTGGCCTTTGCAATCTGTCGGGTATATTCCAACACGCCATGAATAGGATCTTCCATGACTACTGAGATAAGTTCGTCGTTGTGTACCTCAATGATATACTTTAGTAAGACTGTCGAGGAACATGCCCAACATGTAGAGAAGGTACTTTCACTCCTTCGACAAAAGTATAAGACAAACTTAGAAAAATGCGAGTTCGGTCGCACTCGAATCTTGTACTTGGGTCATGAACTCTCCGCGGATGGGATTAGGCCCGAAGATGCGAAGGTGGCTAGCATACGTGACTGGCCACGACCCCAGTCTGTGACCGAGGTCAGAGCATTCTTGGGAATGTGTGGTTATTACCGCAACTTCGTTAAAGTGTTCGAAGCATGCACTCACGCACCATGAGGTTCTCATGGTACCCGATCCGCAAAAGCCGTTTGTTGTAACCACTGACGCAAGCCAATACAGCATTGGCGCAGTGATGGCTCAACAGGAAGGGAAAAAGTTGAGACCGGTCGAGTAGATGAGCAAAAAGATGCCTTCAAAGAAGTTGGCACACCTACGAGAGGGAACTCTATGCCCTCTACAAGGCACTTGTCCACTGGAGGCACTATTTGTCAAGAAGGTTCTTCTATTTGAGAACTGACCATCAACTCAAGTGGATCAAGACCCAACCGGTTCTCTCCAATGCCCTCAAACACTGGATTGAAATCATAGATCATTATGATTTCAAACTAGACTATGTGAAAGGGGAGTACAACAAGGTTGCGAATGCATTGTCTCATAGGGTAGATTATCTAGGTGCGCTGATTTATGAGTTTGGCCTTTCTAAGAACGTTACTCGATCCTTGGGGGAAGCCTACAAGGAAGACCCTATCACGATGGACATCATTAACAAACTGAAGGCCAAAGACAAGGCCACCACTGGCGAGTTTGTGATGGTGGATGGGTTACTCTTTCTTGAGAAGGCAGGGTTTAAAAGGTTAGTTGTTCCATCTAGAGAGATTTTGCGTAGTTTATTTTTAGGTGAGTGCCGCGACGCAATGGGACATCTTGGCTATAAGAAGACTAGTGATAATTTAGTACAACGATTTTGGTGACCTGAGATGCTGGACGATGCAAAGAAGTATGTACAGACCTGTCAGGTCTGTCAGCGAGACAAGCCGCGTACTCAAGCTCCGCTTGGGTTACTGAAGCCTCTACCCATTCCTGCTGGTCCGGGACAGAGTATCTCCATGGACTTCATGGATACCCTCGTGACCAGCAAGAGTGGCAAGAGACATATCTTCATCATAGTTGATAGATTCACTAAGTTTGCTAGACTAATTGCCATGCCGGAGACCGTTAGGACTGAACACATCATCAAGTTATTCATGGTAAATTGGGTGCATGACTCTGGACTGCCAAAGACGATCGTTAGTGATAGAGATGTGCGTTTCACAAGCGAGATGTGGACGAAGGCTGCTGAAGAGATGGGCAGCCAGCTCCAAATGACTTCTGAGAATCATCCCGAAGCCAATGGGCAGGCTGAATAGATGAACCGGGTGGTGCAGCATCTGCTGAGGCATTATATTAAGCCCATCCAGGATGACTGGGATGAGAAATTGCCTCTCATCTCCAGTCTGTACAACAGCGCTGTACACAGCACCACCGGGGGCACCCCGAATCAGCTGCATATGGGTTGGAAGCCTAGATCTGCACTAGACTTCCTCCTTCCTGAAAACCGACCTGCTGCAACTCTTGGAACCATCGAGTTTGGTGTCCAGTACGAGAAGCTGCTGCAGCAAGCTGTCGAGAACATCAAGAAGTCTTAGGAAGCAATGATTGCTTCTGAGAACAAGCATCGTCGTCAGTCCACATTTCAGGTAGGGGAACGTGTCTGGGTTAAGGCTAGTGAACTGGGACAGGAGTTCGACATCTCTAGGAAACTAATGCCTCAGTATTTCGGTTTCTGGGAAGTGTAGGATGTTGTGGGTAGTGAGATGGATGGTCCCTCGTACATTATCCGTATCCCTGATCAATTACGCACTCACCCTGTGTTTCATGCCTCAAAGCTCGCTCCTTTGACTGAGACGGAACAGTTCCCATCACGGAGATCTATGCTGCCCCAAACCATGGATGGCCACGTGGACGTCAATGATCTCCTGGAGCACAGAGACATGCCTGTTCTCAAGCCAGCTGGCAGGGGTAGACCGCCTAAACCTGCAAGAGAATATAGAGTACGGTCCAGGCATCATACGGATCCTAAGGAAGATCGATGGTTTACGAGGGCGAAACTTTTCAAGACAGCTCCTCAGATCATGGCCGAGTACGAGAAGAGACTGAAGGGGAAGGCACCAGCATGAAGCATCTCAGCGGACTTTCGAAGCTAAGGGGGATGAAATGCGAGGAACGGGCCCTCACAGGGGCCCTTATCAGGCAAACACATGTTCTGGGCAGAGCCCCCCAGCGAGCCGAGTGCCCGCCCTAAGTGAAGGCGGGCCTGAATATTCATCAGAGGCCAAAACTCAACATTTTCATATATGGGTATTCAGGCTGTTGCAGCCCGCCAGTTGGTTGAGTGGACGCGCGAGCCTCCCTAAGCTGGGTCATACAGTAGGCCCAAGCCTTGGGAGTTGCGCCTGGGCACATACACACAAAGCTGGGCCGATACATCATGACTTAGCCACAGTCCTGTGCAAATGCAGCAAACGGCCCAAGTCCGGAGACTCAGGCTGTGTCCAACTGTAAAGGGCCCAGGCCCTCAACTATAGTCGCGGGCCTGGGCGCAGGAACTAAGGCCCAACCGGAAGCTACTGGAAGCCTCCAGCCAGGCCACACGCAGCATCCAGGAGGCTGCCACTTCCATATAGGAAGTGAGGCAGCCCAGGTCAGGAGGCTGGCCCGTGCAGGCAATGCGGCCACGCTGCTGCGCTGCTGCGCTGCTGCGTTGGACGCTGCGTTGCGCCCAGTGCGCTTGCGGGGTGCGCTGAGGTGAGGTGGGGCGCTGCAGGGCAGTGGAGCGCGAGCAGCCATAGCCGGGCTGCTGGGCACTAGAGGGTAAGAGGGCGATTGGTGGTCTTCAGGAAGGAGGCGAGTGTGTGGATGATCAAGGTCTGACGAAGGTGATGAGATACGTACCTCGTGCACGAAGAGAAGTATCTCGTGCACGAAGAGAGGTGGGCTATGGTGTTGACATCATGTACATTGGTCTTCGAGAGTCGAAGTGAGCCTGTTGCGTGAATACAGCTGTAGGTAGAATAGTCGAGTAGAGTAGGCTGGGCGCTGGGCGGCGGACAGAGAAGAGCAACATTGGATACTGTGTTGGTGTGGCCTGAGGGCTTGAACATTGGCTCATTACTTCATTGTATTGCTCTATTTGGATGGTTTCTCTGTGCGTTTGTGCTCTCTGCTTGTACACGACTACTTGGACATCTGTGTGATTTCGCAACTTGGTTTTCTGTATATCGTTCACACTCGTATTCCTTGCGTTTCCCACTTTGTTCACTTAATAGATGGCTGATTCTTGATACCAATAGCTAGGCCGATTGAGTTGCTGAGGTCCTCTGGACTTCGCGCTTGTGTATTTGATAGCTCGCTGTTGCGATGTACTCTCGTTAGGAATTTGAATCTTATTATGAAATTCTCGAGGGTTTGTCTCAGCTTTGTTGTTTACTTTTTAGAGTTGGTTCTGCAGGATGAGGTGTGATTGTCAAACGGGGAAGCTTGGCCTGTGGTTGAAGGAGCGAGACTCTTCACCCCTTTTGCTAAAGCCTGATGTCGGGTGATGACCCCGGTGTGATACAGTGTCTTCACGTATGTTTTGGCTTGGGCACCACGCCTGTAATATACAGAAAAGGAGGGCTACCAACTGGGCCGCCTGATTGCCTAGGTGACCTTGCTGGGCAAAGGGCTTGGAAAGGTTCCTGGCCAGAAGAAAAAAAAAAATCAAAAAAATCCGACAAAGAACTATGTTACGCAGAAAATAAACTGGACAACTGTTGCCGCGGGGTCAAATCAACTCTTTACCAAATTAATAATAAAAAAATCACTTAAGAAAATGATGAAAATCAGAAAATCTATTTTATAATTTTTATTTTATTTTTCTATTTTTTTTGGCCTGGCCCACTCTGGTAGCCTAGACAAAAGCCATTTATGCAAAAAAACTTTAAAAAAGAAAAGAAACAAATACCTGTTGTACAATTCAAAACAATTATTCTGAATTCTACAACTCAAAAACAAATAGATTTGAAGCGTTTTGTCTTTTCTTTTGGTGGGTGCCGATTGTTGCCTGCAGTACCGTCAATTTGCTTTGCATTTGGATGGGTAAGTCCAAAGCTTGTACTGCAATTACAGAGGTGTCTGTCGGATTTTGACAGCATCAACATCCAGTCGTGTTTGTGTGCATCGAAGGACAAGGAATCCACTGTTTAATTGACTTCTGTGAGGGTGACTTTCATCCTTATGCTAGGCACTGTATTTTTCACAAATTCACAGTAATCTTATGTGCTCTGCTTTTGTGTGGATAATCGTTTTTTCAATTGTTGCAGTAATTTAGAAGGAAAGTTCTATTCAATTCACAGGCTGGATTATCAATGGGTGGAGAGGTGGGGAGGGCTCCGAAACGAGAGTGGACAGGTGACATGGCGTTCGATCAGCAAGCAACCTCTAGTTTAATGCAGGACAAACAGCTGAAGAGGATGCTGAAGAGAAAGGTGCAAGATCTGACTTCTAAAGTTGAGGAGGTAAGTCCATCCCTGCCCTCTTTTCTTGCGTTGCTTGTCAGATGGAATTATGGGAAAAAAGAAAGTGATGGAACTGTCAGTGACTGTTTGTTTGGAGCTACAGCATCAAACAGTCGCTCCGTCTTCTTCACCAGTTCTGGTCATTGCAAGGGAAGAGTTTGAACATGGGTCTCGCTCCGCTACTCTCGAAATGTGCAAAACGAGAGTGAATCTTCTGCTATAACATGGAAAGATACACCGCCATGATTTTTATATTTTGTGCATGTCGAGAGTCGTGGAGGGACGGCCCATATATAACTGTCAATGAACAAATGATCAATACCACAGGGAGCCAGTACAGTAATCCTATCCTAGGGCCTAATACTCTTCAGGAAGACAGCTAAACAAAACAAAACAAGACAAAACGAAGCAAATAAAAGAATTCGGACATGCGAAAAAGGAAAGAGGGTATCATTGGGGACATATATGGACAATACCATAGTGGGAATTGCAAGAAGATTGAAATGAGCCTGGCACACAAATGACCTGCAGATTCTATTGGTGGTTCAGGTCTTTGTGGAAACACTTGATTGCCTGCGCAAGCCTTTTCCGAAAAGAGCCTTGTGAGAGGAAAGAAGGAAATGGAAAGGCAAGACCTTTTCAAAGGGTTGTATTTTGCAGAGTCTCCCAATCTTCTTTTTGGTGACTTTCCTGAATTTCTCTTTTGTTTAAACCTCTCACCTGAAAACTAAGCCAGGATATTGATTATCCAAAGAGGTGTGGACGGGCAACTATAGGTGGACACGAGGGGGGCTACCTGGCTGGCTGATTTGGCACAGAGAAATCACAAGGCAGATGTCTTCACCCCACGCCTCCCACCCACTCTCTCCATGCTGCCACATGGTGCGGCTCTCCCTCTGTCTGTCTCTCGCCCTCCGTCCCCCTCACTCCATGCTGCCACTTGTTTATTCACGAGGACCAGGTGCATGTGAGATAAGCTTTGTCCATCAAGAGCGCTTCAATGAATAAACAGGTGACACCCACTGCGGCAAACGCACCACCCATCATCTCTTGTTTGCTGGTGAAGCTGCAGCAGTCATCTAGTAGTCATGAACGTCTTCTTCCTCGCACTCAGCTCCTCCAGCCTAGACCTCCACTTCACTCTCTGTCAGTGCGGAGCAGCGGCATGGCCGCCGGGTGAATGCTCGGGCTACGTATTCACTTTCGGTCCCCAGTACCTCTGCCTGGGCACTCTCAGCATCTACCGGTGCACTGGGTTGCACCAAAGGTCCTGCCTTGGTGGGAATATTATTGCAACCTGCAGGTCACTTCGAGGGCTTGAAACCACGTTGATATCTACCTGTATTCAGGCCCTGCACCATCATGACCTGTTTGGAAGCTAGCGGACCTTTGCAAGGGTACCGGGTGTTTTGGGGCCTTCCCAAGTTGCTGGAAAATGCTGCCGTATCCTTGCCAAATTCCACTTCTGTTCCTGTCCATCTTAGGCTTTCTTCTAAGTTTGGACAGTGTCCGATTTCAGTCCTACCCCTGTTGATATACTTATTTATTGGTCTATCCCTCTTTGGACAGAAAACACAACATGAGAACAAGGTTGGTTCATGGGCACAACAAGTATCGCACAGAGTTTAGGGGACACAGGCAATACAGTAAAACATGCACAATCTCTGGAATTTTCAGCATATCAGACCAGTAGCCAAGAACTCACATAAAACTGTGACTGTGCAGGTCATTGCACTCCCAGCAGCCCAGATGCGAGGGCCCTTTGGGCTGGGGAGAACCTGTATATCCAGACACAATGCGTCATAGGCACAAAATGCAATCAACTAAGGTGTACACTTGCTTGTGCTATAATCACATGTGAGACCGCGTTCATACTCGTAGGCATTCATAATATGGGGGCAGTCTGCTGTGGCTTAGACGGAGAAATCCAGTGTAGATCATCAAGTGGTTGATACGAGGAATGTGCTTGATATTACGATCCGAGATGGAGAACTCCAATGTAGATCTGTGACACCCAAACCACACGCCCTGTGCAAGGATTTTAGGGAAAGGCCGGGGGGGGGGGGGGGGTTGGCGTCCCAGGTCGGAACTGAGATCTCCTGTGCTGCGTTTCAGCAGAATGTACTCAGGGGTTCAGTCCACCGATCAGTGTTTTCTAAGGATGCTGGGGCAAAGGGCAAGTGTGTTTCTTTCTCAAATCTAACACTTGATCGTATCACAGCTGTTTGCAAGCATCGCCGCCTCCGCCTTCCACAGCCAAATGGGTCTGGGTTGTGTGTGGGCTTCTGCTGGGCCTCCATGTGTCCCCTGCAGGGTTCGCACAGTTCGGAGTCGGAGGAAAACGCCCTCAATCGAGTGTGCCTTGCCTGATAATCCTCATTGCTGCGAACCCGGTAAACGAACCTGCGTTGCTCATAGAACTCCTTGCGGTTACACTCAGAGCATAGGACACTAGGGCACCTAGGGGCGACGGCAGGCCAAGGGACGACTGAGTTTGTGATAGGGGAGTAGTATGGGGGAAAGTCTGTGTTAATGATGACAAATCTGGGACGGACGAAGGACGAACTGTCTGTCCTATTTGGAAATTGATAAGGCGGCCTATTTGAGCGATCACTGCCCAAACATCCCACTTACAGACTTGTTGCCTGATCCCGAGATAGGGAAGAGGGGTTACGATATTGACCGAGGGATGATAATCAGATGGATCAATCACGAGGAACTGTCTATAGAAATCCATAATCGTAGGATACACGAGTGCCACATGGCTGGTGTAACCCCGGTCATACTTGAGAAACTAATTATTCAGAAACATGCTGTGCATAATTGAATTGCAAAAGCAACAAATTATCTGCTCCAAAATTTTCTATCAGCATTCCCCAAAATCAAAATGGGTGAGAGGCATCAGACAACCAATCCATGCGACGACATGCTTAGCATTAGAGTCAGCAATGAAGGAGAGAGAGAGGTGATGGTCAGAGAACCCTCAAAGCTGAGAACACAGCTTCAAAAATACAACTCAAATCTCTTTCCGGTCCTCTCTTTGAAATTTTCCCACACTCACACACTACGAGCACCCGAACCAGATCTCAACTTCGGCGCGGATAGTCTGTCGTTCTGCAACCACCACTTCCCTGAAGTAGTCAGCAAGGAAGGAGAGAGAAGGAGAGAAAAGAGGATGATGGTCAGACTTTACAGATGGGGACAGCGAACACTCCACCACCCAGAGCTCAGAACACAGCTTAAAAAATGCAACTCAAATCTCTTTCTCTACTGTCTTTGAAATTTTCCCACACTCACTCACTACAAGAACCCGGACCAGATGTCAACTTTGGCGCGGATAGTCCGTCGTCCTGTGCCCACAACTTCGCAGCGCCATCACCCCGCTTAGCCCGATTACGCCCGTCGCAGCGACACGTCAACCCCGCACAGTTGCCGGCAGCTTGTTGGGCCTTTTTGACTCCGCTCACTCGCCTCAACCACACTGCACTGCTCAGCTAGCTGACCCTCGTGCGCTAACTCCAAAGATTAGAGAGATAAAACCGACTTCCTAAGTTTGTATTTGCGGAACACGTGTGGGAGTTTAGAGAGATTAAGCATGAAGACAGGTAAGGGAGTGGTGCATACCTGGAGTGTGGCATGGGGACTTCGCCACACTCCATGCATCTATCCCGGTTGCATGGTGTTGGCTAATGAGAGTCGGAAAAAAAACGGAAAGTTCCCGATTCAGAGCTGGGTGTGCAAGCGCCAAGAATAAGCAAGGGGGGGAAAAAGGACAGTTACAAGAAAGACAAAGGAGGGTGATGGCAGTTGAGCACCACGGGGAAACTTAAGGCACAAGGGAAAAGAGTGTGAAGAACTGCCTGCACAGAAAAGGGGCAGAGCCCGGTTGCACATCATGTCCAAGCAAGAAGCAGAGAGTCTAAATTTTGAAATTGCGAAAAGAAATCCTAACTATACGTGCGATTAATATGCGGGCCACAAAATTTCAAATTTAAATGCCGTTTCACCGAAGTTGCTGCACAAGAAATTCCACGAACTGATGCGAAATTAAAAGACGAGAAAAAGCCGACACATCATCCAGTTGCTGCGCCCGCTAAGGTGCATCGTAGTTGCAAAATTATGCGGGGACAAAAGAACAGACCGTTGCAAATTGCGGAATTAGCTTTCTTACATCGCAACTTGAGTTACAGCACATTCACAAAGTTTCAGAAATAAGGGGCAACTTGATTAACAAGTCCCTCAAAATTACACAGGCCTCTGTACAAGGCCTTTTGCAGATCATGCAGAAGTCCTTGTGCGTACAGATCCTAGTTTGTCACAGATCATTGAGTGGTTGATACAAGAAATGTACTAGACATTACACCCCCTTACCCCTTGTGCTCACATATTCAATCCACCTCAAAGCCACCATTGATGGGGCTTCATAGAGGGTCTGCCGTTAATATCATCAGAAGTGGCGCAAGGAGAAGGTTTGGAAGTATGAAACATCGGATATGCAACTAGATGTGGAGGTACATCCACGACTTAGGAGAGTAGATCGTTAGAACTTTAGCCAGGCTGCTTCCTCATCAGAGAATTCAGATATCTTGACCCGAACCCAAGTTCATTATTTGAATGTAGCAGGTTTGTGTTGCTTATTTGCTTGCGTGAGCGTAGCATCTTGTTGTTTGTGCATAACTATGACTGCGCGAGCAAGCAGTTTCTGATACTTAACTCCATAACCCGACATGCTAGGGGTGAACGCAGTGTGTCCATTGGGTACTAAGAAGTCAAGGAGACTGCGACTCTGCCAACCAACTTGCAACTCATTTGGGTCATTCTGCTAGTGGAGTTGTGGAATTATTGTGCAGATTCCTTGCAACTAGTGTGTCATTGTCCCAACTGCTTTGATTGGGACCAACGAGTGACTGACGTGGTCGAGTTAACTATTTGGTTAATTTCCTGTGCTTGTCCAGTACCGGATGGCAATCCGAGGTCGTGGCCAAACGTGCTTGATAGAGATCATTAGTGAAAGATTTCCTTTGGGAGCTCATGAAGATCTTGTCCTGATTACGAACCATATTTTCAGGCCCCCTGAATCGTGATGACTTTTACCTTCGAGGCCTGCAGCAGAAATCAGATGCCAAGATAGATGATGTTGTCCTTCCCAGGCTCAGATTTCTCGAAGTTTAGGTGCAGTCTCTCCTTGCGCAGGATGTTTACAACTTGTCACAAATGGCGTTCGCCTTCTCCATGGACTCAGTGAAAATCAGTATGTCAAGGATGCCTTGTGCCATGAACTTGTTGAACTGTTGTCAGAAGACTCGGTTCATCAGACTTTGAATTGTGGTCTATGCTTTCATTGGGCCTTAGGGCATGGGAATGAACTTGTAGAGCCCATTATGCGTCTTGAATGCAGTTGTGTTGATTTGCAGGATTGATTTCAATATGATGGTAATCAAATTTGAGGTCAATTCTGGAGCACACTGACAATCCACAGCTACATCAAATAGATAATCAATCCAGGGCAAAGGATATATGTTTTTTCCTTGTGATACAGTTCAGTCCTCGATAGTCAACCTACCATGGTTTTGACTCTTGAGGCATGAAAAAACTGGTGCTATGTACCCGTTGTCAAGCAATTCTTCGATTTGCTTTTGCCATTCGTCCTGTTCAAGTGGTTCCATGTGATGCTCATATCCCCTGGGAGGCTGACCATAAGGACTTCAATCTTGTGCTTGATAGTCCGTTGTGGCACTCCATGTGGTTTGCAAGCACTATTGGATATTGGCATGCGGTTTGCAAGCACGATTGGATATTGGCATGCGGTTTGCAAGCACGATTGGATATTGGCATGTGGTTTGCAAGCACGATTGGATATTGGTTAAGAAGAGACTTCAAGTTTATTCGACTGCTTGACCAGATTTGGACTTGGAAGTAGTGGAAGAAGTTGCACAGAAGGGTTTAGCTAGATCTACCTATACTTCCCTCGTATGAACATGACCCTCAGTGTCTTCTACTGTGACCCTGCCGACAACCAATGCTCTAATGTCCATGCGATTGATGTAAATGGGAAATAAAGGAGTTTCACACCCTTATCCTCTCTGTCTTTCTTTGTTTTGTTGTATCTCTCCTGGTGGGGATGAAAATGGATCCCTCTCTGATCATTCCATGGTTTAAGTAGGAGAAACACAATGGTGTTGGTCTGTGCTTGGGCTGGAGGTTTGGAAAACGGTTCAGCTTCTGATTCAGGGACAAATTCTGAAACAGGTTTCTAAATCAGGTTTAGAAACCAATGCAACGTTCTGTTCTCTTCAACGTAGAAAAGGGCGGACATACTTTTACAAGCCAAATTCGGGTTTCGCTTCAGGCGGAAACTTTCAAAGTGACTCTGTTTTTCACAATGTAGGCGCACCCCTTTTTCAAGGGATTCTGCCCCAGGTCGTTTTGGAGTTCCTTCTTGAGGGTTTTCCATGGTGCAGATGACTTTTGGGACTTTTGCGTCCTTAGGAGGAAAGGTTTACGCTTCTTGTTGGGATAGTTAATCGACCTCTCGTTAGAAATGGCAGGCTTTTTATACGAAAGCAGGTTCACGTCCTTGTACACCTGGTCACCAAGGCCTGTGAAAAACACTCGCCTTCGAATTCAGCCCGTGGGTTGGGCTAACTCAGGTCTGCATCATGATCCAACTAATTGTCTCCACTTGGCTCCAGCATGCCATATCTTGTGAAATGTTCCCGCCAGCAAAGTGTTTTCACACAGTACCCATCTTAGGGGTCGAAGCAGCACTGGGAAGGTTCTGAACTACGGTTTCAAGGTCTTTGAGATGGCTTATCAGCAATTCCCAGTCCTCTATAACTTCTTGGTGCCAAGGCGGCAAACAAGATATGAAGGGGTTGTGCCTTGCACGCCTTTTAGCCTGGCTATCTCAGTCAACTATAGACCTGGTGTCGCCCTTTCCCAACTTGTTCTGCCATAGTGACCCTTCCCTATGCAGTCCATGTCCAACTGGCAACGCAACAGAGCCGTCTGGATGCCAATGCAAACCAAGGAGGTGTAGATGAAGGTCAACCATGGGCCCAACAGGGGCCGTCGAGATGCATGCATGAACTGGTACCCACAACACGCGCGCCGGTACTGCAACAGGGCCCTTCCAGATGCATGCATGGACTCAATTCCGCCATAGCCACACTCCCGGATGAAGTCTTTGTACGGAGAGATTGAAGAGGCGACCATACCACAGGTATGCCAATGGGCCTTCCACAATGCAGAAGCAAATTTGACCACCTCAGCCAGAGAAGATGCTTTGGATGGGTAAGATAAGGTTAAAACGCTTACCTGGCAATGAAGACTCAAACATGAAACACTCACTTACTGTAGTATATGATGATGTCTGTGCTCTCATGAACGAGCATTGATTCACTGGCAAACCAGTGAAAAGAACAGAAGAATGATCACACATGACGAAACATTGACGATATCAAGGTCTGTTGATGAAGAAACAATCCCCTTCACCATAACAGCAGTCAACACAATAGTATACCTACTCTACTCATCGATCCCTGTCGTAAATGCAGTGCAGCACAATGATGCCAATCAAGGAATGTGTGCTGTTGGAGCTTCCATTCCGAAGACCAACCAGGTAAGTCTTCTTTCCCTTCTCTCCATGCCTGACCTTCTCTCCCAAGGACCTTGCCTCTTGGCCCTGATCTCTCTCTGTCTCACCCTTTCTCTCTCTTAGCGCCCAGCCATGCCTGGCTAATGCGGATTGCAGCCCTGGACTTCTACAATGACTTGAAGCAGGGTTGTGAACCAAAGTGGAGAGGTTGGGGTCTGGAAGTATCTGGACTGACCTGGGCCCTGCACGTTGGTTAGGAGGGTCCAAACTTCTCTGGTCTCATCCTAGTCTGGCGTGGCCTGGCCTTTGTCGTTTCTGGCCTGGGCCTTTCCACGACCGGCCATTTCAGAGCCTACTGGCCCTCAGTCCATCCACAGGCCTTGTGCCCTTACAAATGCTCAACTAGTTGTTGGCCATGTACTAGTCTTAACAGTCAGCCTTAACAAGCAGTAAGGTATTGTTTTTCTTTCGGGCGCTTTTTACTTTCAGATGGAGAGGCAAGTTCTCGAAGTGATGCGGATGAGGGCATCCGTCAGGAAGAATCGTGCTCTTGCTGGTAAAGCTGCCACAGCAGTGGCAGTGTCAGCTGCTGCAGCAGGCAGTACAATTGCCTTAACGAATGGAGGACCTGGGTCCAAGGACAAAAAGAACGCAGTACAAGGGAAGGGTGCTCAAAACCCAGCGAAACTTGCAGAGATCGATAAAGCAAAGCAGGAAGCAGCAAGGGCAAAGAGAATGCAAGATTTGATACGGCAATCTGGGAACATATTGCGGCAGGTGTGTGAGTCTCTTTGGTATGAGCTCCTGCCTGTTTCAATTTCTTTCACTACTTTGGAGGTCCGTTCATTGCAAGTCAGGCCACGCAGAGTCAAAGGAAACCCTGCATGTTCAGCATAAGTGCAAGAAGAAATAATGGATAATATCCGATCCACGAAGAGGAGATGGTAATGCCAGAGTTGACTACTGTATGGAAATGCATTCATTTCTTTTCTGACTCAACGTGAAGTCCGGATGTCTTGAGTCTCAAGTAACTTAAGTGCCTGCCCTCCTATCCCCTAGCCATCTACTTTCTCCGCCACAATTTTTGTCCGTTCAGCCTCCACTTCTTGATTAGTCCTATTCACGACTATGGTTCATGGGACCTGGCCAGTGCACTATCAGTGGCCTTGAAGCTTGCTTCCCAAACTTGGTTGTAGGATGGTCCAAACCAACTCACGGCTGGAGATCCCAATGCTACTATAAAGGACGGGTAATGATCAACAGAGGGGGTCATAATGGGGGAAACATGTGTGTGTGTGTGTGTGTGTGTGTGTGTGTGTGTGTGTGTGTGTGTGTGTGAGAGAGAGAGGGAGAGAGAGAGAGAGAGAGAGAGAGAGAGAGAGAGGTTCTTCATATCTCCGTGGATCACTCGTGGATCAGTGTATGTGATCCATGATTTTTATGGGTGTGTGAGAGAGTGGGAAAAAGGATGACATGGAGTGTGTCCAGGGGCGTGCAGAAAGCAGAGACATCGGACGTGCAGAAAGTGCAACCAAGATTCCCAAAAAATGAAGCAAACGTTTCTCCCTCTCACACACACACGCACACACACACAC